GAGGTGATAGGTGGAACCTTTATCACGGCCTGACGTTTGCACTAGATCGTCTTCATCAGAGGCCTAAACGTGGCTCATGGTTTGAAATTGCTCTTTCTACACCGCGGAAGATCTCTTCTTCCCTAACTCTGAACCACCTGGAAATCCCGAATGAGAGGAAACTCACCCAGCGAGAGCGGAAGTAGCCGCTCAGTTAGTTGTTAGTACAATTAGTGGGACTTACTGTGCCAATCTTGTATAGTGATTATAGTCAGAAATGGCACGTCCCACCGCTCACATCAGTAGCTCGCAGTGCGACACAAATGGCAAGAGGTCATTTGTTATGGATAAGCACTCATTGCGGTTGTTCATTCTAGGATTTCTTGCAGAAATCCAGAATGCCTCTAGCGCTTTTCTGGCAGAAATCTCAGTCCAGTATCGTGCGCTCCACATCAAAGTCGTTTCCGCTGTGCACTTCGATGTGAAGTGCACGATACTGGCATGCGAGACTGAGATTTCTGCCAGAAAAGCGCTAGAGCATTCTGGATTTCTGCAAGAAATCCTAGAATGAACAACCGCAATGAGTGCTTATCCATAACAAATGACCTCTTGCCATATGTGTCGCACTGCGAGATGTGAGCGGTGGGACGTGCCATTTCTGACTATAATCACTATACAAGATTGGCACAGTAAGTCCCACTATTGTACTAACAACTAACTGAGCGGCTACTTCCGCTCTCGCTGTGGTGGACTGGGTGAGTCTTTCCTCTCATTCGGGATTTTCGGGTGGTTTTCTCAACAGTCTGTCAGATTTAGGGAAGAGGAGATCTTCTGGCGGTGTAGAGAGAGCAATTTCAAACCATGAGCCACGTTTAGGCCTCTGATGAAGACGATCTAGTCGAAACGTCAGGCCATAATAAAGGTTCCACCTAACAACCTCGTGTGCACAGAAGAACTTATCAAACATTTCGTAGCTTTAAAAAACCAGATGAGCAAGATTCGTATCACGTAAATTGGCGAACTATTGCACCAGAAATGGCTCAGATTGCCATGGTTTTTCTACGGGTTTACATGATGAATTAATGATAATATTTGAATATTTAGCCGACGATAAGGATGATGAACAAGATGGTGGAAAGGAAGATGGTAAGAAAGGAGATAACAGCACAGAGAAAAATTGGAAATAGTACTACGCTGGAAACACTTTACGACGTACAATCGAAACACTCCACTTGAAACACTAACAGTTACAATAAGTTGAAGGGGATGACCACTAAGCAGGTAAGGAATAGACAGGGCCTGAATCCCTTTTTCTGAGGCTGAATACAGTTTACACGGCGAGTGTTACTCTCTCCTTTATATTATTCTTTTTTTTTAAGCATCTTGCTAATTTACTTTTTTTCAGGGGGGGGTGTTATGTCTTCTTTCCTTTCATTTGGTGCACTCTGAATTTTGTTTGCCTGTTTTGACCCTGTCCCTGACCTGTGCATTTCTTTTTGTCCCAATTTGAGCGCGAAACTAATTTAGGAGAGGGTAGGGGGTGGGACGCGGTTGCTCGTTTACGGTTGTCGGGCGGAGATCTCCTTACGGACATACGTGTGTGTAGGCGCGGCGTCAGCCTGTTTCCATCAGTGTCTGCATGCTTCAAGCTGGCACGACTGGTGGAAGTGAGCTGGCACCACGCCAAAACGCACGCACGGGACGCCTCCACATGATCATGACCAGTCCTTCTATAGGTGTAGTTCGTTGAGGACGGTGGTGCGTGTCAGGCAGGATGAGTTTATCACGATGCCAAATCCGTCCTCCACCAGCTGTTAAAGCAAGTAAGTGAAGATCGTATCATGTCGTTCGGTCATGTGCGTGCTATCCTGTTGTCGCTAACTGCTTCAAGAACCACCGCAACTGGCAGCGACGGGTTTTTCACCGTGGCACACTCATACTGCCTAACACCGTTCGCAGTGAACTACAGTTTATGTCCCTTCCCAGGTCAAGGTTCACGCTTAGTACATGTTCCTTAGTTACAGACTGTGCCTGATTTGAAGTGAGCTCTACCTTCTCAATGTGAGATCTCGCTTGGAGACACGCACGGTCACCGAGGTGCACCCCTTGGCATGTGCGAGGCTGACTGGTCCACTTCTGACAAAGCGCAGTGGTTTCCATCGTCTGAAGCAGCGTAGCGATGGGAAACCAGAACGGTGAATAGAAATTCATAAGTCTTAAAAGAACTTGAGGCACAGAACATCGACCGGCACGCCGCGACAATGATCCTGCATATCACAGCTGTGGCACGGACGCGGCGTCAACACAACGCGCGTCAAGCGCCGGCCGAGACTCTTTCAAGGCTATTTGCCAAGTCCGTAGTTTGCGCCCTCGTACGATTAAAAACGCAAACTCTAATGCCGCTGCACTGCTGAGAGTGAATCAAATGCTGGCTGATTTTGATAGCCAGGTGATGTACGAGGGTAGATACTGAAATCAATAGACCAACAGAAGGCGGTAAATATATTTTTTCGAGTGGTGAAGGACTCGTACGTCACTGCGTGGGACGATTAGTAGTATGGTTTGCAGCGTGAGCAACGGCCTCAGTTGTCATCCGTATCAAGAAGTTTGCGTTTTTATCGTTTTCGAAATCGCAAACTACAAGACCTGGCAAAGTGGCAGGAGCGCCGCGCGCAACACGCATTGCGCGGACGGCCGGTCAACTAGGTGAAATCGAGATATGGTAGCGAAGTGTCTGCGCCGCAAATTGCTTTTAGGCGTGGTAGGAGGTAAGCTTCTCCCAGGGTCCTCGTCTCCATCGCCGCGCGCGCTCAGGCGGGGAACCGCACTCTTCGACAATCAGGGGCCTTTTAGCCCTGCACATGCTGAGGATGGACCTCGCACGTAAGCGTGCGTTTTGTCTTTAGAACACCTTTTTAATTCTTTATTGATGCTTTCCTGTACTGTGTAGGTCGGATTGGATTTGTGACCAGGGGCAACATCGTTGTGTAAAACACAGCAGGGGTCGTGTTCGGCCGCTAAGAGTGGTCTCGTGTTCGGCTATATGAATTGAAATTCTCTGGCTAATGACTTTCGTTCTACGCGCCCAATCCCCATATCCCCCTCTCCAACAATGCTACCAATCCTGATAGTTGGCTGGCGCTCGTCCCGAGGTGATGTTTGTATCTAGCAAGAGGTTTCCCACAAAACAGTGGTGCCCTGTCCTGACACCTTTAGTTAGCGGATCCAAGTCAAGATCCAAGTTTTGTGGAACATATTCTATTGAACAATGTGTTCAGTGGCGCCAAACAAACCGATACTCAAAGCCAATGTAAAACACACAAGGCCGCGTGCTATTGATCTGGAATGGACAATGAGGTGGAGAGCTATTGATAAGACGAGGTTTCCCGATCGAATGTGAGTTGATTTTGGCCGACTTGTTTCTCTCAATGGGCCACACGATAGTTTTCATAGTTTTCCTTTATCATTATTGCCCTCACTGTCTCTTTCTCGCAGTGGCTACGACATCACCTCTAATAACCTTCCATGGGTCTCTGTTTGAGCTACCGTTGCACACAGCATCATGTGGGATGTACGCTGTTCGATTTGTTCTTAGAAAAGTAGGGTTCTGATTGGTCCCCTTCGACGGGAAACTCCTCCCATAAGATACCTGTCATTTCCCGCCCCTCGAAAAGGCAGGTGCAAAAGTTCGCGGTCTCGGAACACACATTAATGATTGCCCTTAGGGTGGATCTTCCCATATGTCTAAAAAGGCGCGCAGACGCGTAAAATCAGTCTCGTTTCGCTTCGCGACGACGAGGGCGGCTATGATAGAGTCTTATCGTTTGTCGACAAAAAAAGCGGTTGGTGTGCGCCAAACGCAGCCGGGCTGATATCCTAACTAGTCTAATATTCTTGATCTCGAATATCTCGAGTAGTCCACTGGAATAATGAAAATAATATGAATCGTGAAAGAAAACCAAAAGACACATTTTCAGGTTGAAATTACTCATCGTAGAAAGCGTTAAAGGCGGTCCCCATAAACGGCACCCTCCAGTGGAACTCAAATTCGATGTGAGCTACGCTTTGCTTGTTGATTTCATGTTGAATGGGTAGTCTTCAAAGACAAAGTGTACACTTCAGCTCGGAGGACGTCCTCTTGTCATACGTCCCGCAGCGAATAGGCGGTAGAGAACAGTTAGAAGTGAGAGGACGCAGACAAGTAGCGCATCTGGCCTTGGCTAGGCGCTTCATGACTTGCAGGTATGTCGAGAGAGCGAGTCGTCGCATCCGTCGGCGTTGCTCACGCTTGCGACGTGCGCCGCAAATTACACTGGTTCCAGGTCATCGATGGGCAACGTAGAGTCAAAAGTAGGCATAAATGTCTACATTCGTAGCCCACTTGAAATCCGATGCTCTAATCGATAGGCTAACACGAGTTAAGGGAAACGCCGCTCCATCGCCGCGCGCGGCGTAGCGACAAATTACGATTCTCTTGCCCGTCTCCCTGGCTCTGCGGCAGAGAGCGAGAGAGCGCCGGCGGAATACCGAGTTGGCATTCGGGCATCACTACTCTCCAGCGCCGTCCCCGAGCGATTTTGTAAGAAGAATGTGCCGGCTACTGCAGCTGTTGGCCCGATCGCAAACGGCAATGACTACTCTAGGCACTGTCGGCTAAGGGAGGGGATATTTCGCATTCTCATTAGTTTCTTCTGCTATCTCTTTCAAATTACACGTCTCAACATGGTGAAACCTGTGAACTCTTGTCAACTATGAATGAAGTTCCTGCCGTTGCATAGCTTCACAGGAATTCACAGGTCTTCACAGGAGGCATTGTCAGTGGAAACCAGTAAAATGCCATCAACAAGCCAAAAAACTGCACCCCATAGATAGATGATATTTCTTGATAGGTATTTCTCCACAAATTCTGGTGCATCTTTCCAGGAAACGACTTATCATTATGATCACAAGGAGGACCGTGCATTGACCCTAACCTTTACACTTGAAGCTTACGGTGATGATGAGCATTCCACGGAATCTGATCCTGGTAAGTTCTAAACATCGCTGCGCTCCGTTCGGCCAGTCACAAGCACAACTAGTCTGCTTCCTCAGACCCGTCGAACACTCTTGAAGACAGTGTGAACTTTAATCCCAGTTCCAGTTCCATGCACAAGGGGAATGAGTCGGTAGCTGCGGTAGTGTGTCGCTTTCTTCGCTCAAAAATGCACGGATACTGTAACGGTGTGTGTACGGCTTGAGGGTAGTGGTACGCTGGAGCCGCCTCCACACTCTGCCCCTGTATCATCACCGTGCAGCGTTCGCGTCCATACCAAGATCCCGCAACGAAACACCACCCAGCGGTGGAGAACACCCAGTAGTGACAGGGCGCAGAAAACTAATGAGTTTGGCTGAGGTAAGGGGTGTGGCTAGCTGAAGGGTTACGCAGCCTGTGGAGACCGCATCCAGCTCATCACTCCGTTCCCGTCAAACCTTGGCAGAGAAGAAAAGTAGGTTATGCAGCACATGCAAGAGCTAGTTTGTCTCGAAATTCATCCACGGTGGTAAGGGGGGAGGGGACTCTTGGTACGCTTTCCTTGCAGTTCAGCATAACGAAAGCGGCACAGGCGACCGTGGACCTACGCTCATATGGGGGTGTGAGATGCCTAGCTATCAGTCTTAAAGGTAATCGTGCAGTGCATCCCCCTATGTACTAGCTGTACAGGACATGTACTTTACCACTTACATTACCTTACTCGTAGCGTCGAAAACGCACCAGAAAAACTTGCAGAAGTTGATTGTACCGCCCAAGCCTTATGAACTTCACAATGAACTGCACTTTGATTTCTCCCTGAGATATGTGGGTTCAAGCTCAGTAAGAAGGCATGGGAAAAATAAAAGTCGAAGGAATATTTTCTAGTTCATTAGCTGTCTCCTTATATTGTAAACCGGAAGTCCGTGTGTCGGTGTGTCCGGCTGAGAAGAGGCTACATGGGAAGTAACTTCAGGGGATGATTCATGTTTGGGATGGATGTGACATAGGCCAACATGAAGAGCACCCACAAGGTGATCTGAGCTCCGGCTATAATGGGC